AAAGTGAAAGGAAGAGTAGTGTTGGAGTGAGTTCTTTAAAAGAGAGCATTGACCGTTAAAAGTAGTGTGGAAAATCTTTAAATCTCTAGTACACCCCTAAAAAAGAAAAGAAAAGGAAAGTAGAAAGAAAAAGAAAGAGAAACGAAAAAGAGGTAATAAAACGGGGTAAATAAAGTAGAGAGTGCCACAATGAATAAACAGTATGCTCTAGGTGAGGTTTCTTGGCACACAAGCCACTGAAACCTCCACATTGTCTTAGAACTCCTTCAATACCAAATCCAAATGTGATAGTTTGGAAGAAAGAAGTAAGGTTTTTTGGCCGATGCTAGTGGTCGTTATTTGTAAGGTTCTTAGTCGAAACCATAGAACCTTCCGTTTTAGGGTAAAGATGTAGGACCTCATGATGTGTTTGCCATCACCCAAAAAGCCTTTTCCCCATGTGCAAGACAATCGCAAGTCATTTGTGTCACATCCCGATCTCTAAAACCCTTAAATAATAGTTTTGCTCCGGAGCATATTTAAATTTTGAAAGAAAGAAATAATAATGTGCTCGAAATACCAATACTAAAAATACATCTTAAAATTTTAAAGCAAAGCCCTAACATTTGGGCAAACCTCAATCCATAAAGTCTTATCCTTTTAAATCTCCAGTCATTACTCATAATCATAAAATAAATAAACTACAAGTCTCAAATGTCTGCTTACTCATATCCGTGATCAGACATCTACAGAGGTGCTCATGTGGTCCTCCTACGGTAGCCTGCTCTCTCACTCGATGCTCCCTAGCTCCTCCTCTACGACCTGGTGAGTGGGTTGGTGTCAGCCTACGCCATTACTTAAACTTGAAGCACTTACGCGTATTCCCTTAAGTGTTCACCTCAAAACTTGTGGAAGTTATTTATACTTCCACCCTTTAAACTTTAACTCTTAAAACGTGGGAGTTACTGTTACTCGCCACTCCCAAAACATTAAACCTTTGACCGACACTGGGATCCCCTCACTAACTAGTCCAGCCGCCCAACTCATACGTATGAGGGCCAACAAAGACCTTTCCTTAAACCTTTTTATGGGAGTAATCGATTCAATCCCATAAACTTTAAGAGTATATCATACTCTTCCTTTAAACTTCATGTGATGTCTAAGTGATTCATCAACATGTTCCTTAAGAGCAAACTTGCTCTTCCTTTAAACATTCACTGGGGTGGGGGATTGGCGTTAGTGAACTACCTTTAAATCTTTTCACCCTAATGTAATTAGGAGTGAAATACCTCTTAAATTTTGATCCTTAAAGATCAAACAACCTTCATTAAATAAACATAAATATAAAAGCTTCAAGTAAATACTACAAGCTCAAATAATCATATACTTAACAATCATAAATCAAATAGAGCATCTCAGATAATATCTCAAATAAAACATGCTTTATCAATCATGACATAACTCAATCACTGGCATACAATTCACATAATCACACATACTTAAAACTCGTAAGTTAAATACTTGAAAATACGTAAGGCGTAGAATTTACCCTCTTAAACCACTCACCTCTCAAATGACGATCCTTAGTTCCATTGACGTGAAATCCTTAATCCGATCGCTTCCTCAATCCTATAAACTGAAATTATCTTCCCTTAGCCGGTAATCCTCAGATTTAGTCCCTTTAACGTATTGGAAAATTTTCCTCCTAGTTGCTTAGTCCCAAAATTTTTTAAAAATGACATTTAATCTCTTTTAACTCATTACCTCAAAACTGTAATTTTCAACCCCTTTAATCAAGACTTAAATCATTTCAAACAATTAATAACTCTTAAATTAAATATCATAGAATCATCATAAGTTTCTCAAAATATAATTTCCACTTAAATCTCCAAATTCTGACCTTAGGCATTCCAACTCATGAAACAAAATTAATAACCATAAATCATCCTTTAAATAACCTCATTTTCCTATTAAAATTTAGCATATATAATTTTTAAACCATATCATAAACACTAATAAGTCTCATCCATAATTTTATTAGATAAATACATAATCCTAGTTTTATGGAAAATTATCAAATTACCAAAAAAACTTTATAAAGTTATTTATTTAAGTAGTATCAACATTCATTTAATTTCTAAAAATACGAACTCAGATCCAAAAATTCTAAACTTAATACAACAGCATCCTAAGAATAAGCTCTAATTTGTAAAATTATCAGATCATGAAAACTGCAAGTGAACAGCATCAGGAAAAGATATATCCATGAAAAATACAATTTTCGAGCCAATTTGTCAAAGCTTAAAACTCTGAGCAACTAATATGTACATATTGAACACTTTGGGGGACTAAACTGAACAGTGGTCCAGAAATCCTTAGCGACAGAGTCAGTTCCGTCACCAAAAGACCATAATTTTCGTCACTAAATTCTCAGATTGGTGCAAACTCGTATAATTCACATAAACATCGGAAATAACGTCAGCGACCGGGTTGCCTTACCTCTTGGGCGTGTCTAGAACTAGTTCCTAGTCAGTAGGATCTCTGTTCCTCTTTAAGATTGACATTCGATCACTCTACTCCTTCCCCGACGAAGCTACGGCGCAAGAAAGACCTTAGTTAGTCAGCCATATAAGTTCGTCATTCTTACCTACCGACCAAGAGAGTGGAAGAGATAAAAAAAATGTAGATGCTGGCGGTGTAGCTCTTCTCCGATAACAACAAAGACGACGACAGTGAGAAGCTTTTGGCGGTTGTGTTTTTTTTTTTTTTGACGGATGGAAGGTTGATGATAATGATGGGCGAGAAGGTGGGTTGGGGAAGCAGTAGTGGTAATGGGGAGATAGATGAAGCGATAATGATGGTGTATGGCCGAGTGGAGAAATGGTATCATTCCATGGAAGGGGGGATTTTATTTAAGCTTGCACCGACAGTTCTCTACAGCTGCAAGTACTGCATGCTTCTTTATTATTCCAACTCATATGTTTTGTGGAAGAGACATAACAAACATTATATTCTTCTACTGATGAAATAGTGTGATGGGTTGAGTTGGAGGTGGTGTTTCCCGTTGGCTCTCCATTTAGAGGGTGGGGATTAATTGGGGGTAACATAGAGAGAGGAAGACATGGAATGGTGTACAGATGGGAGGAGGGGGGTTGTTTCCTTTCTGCTCCTTTTTTTATTTTTTAATCATAATAATTATAGTTATTATTATTATTTCTAATCCGAAATCCTCCGTATGTAACCGTCTATCCAATCGTTTATTTATTATGATCGCATCTGAACTCAAATGTCGAGGTGTTACAATTTGAACCCGTGTCTAAGACCTCCGGACAAGTTAGTGATGACAACCATTCCGTGAACTCTAGCATTTAGAGGTTGCCGCCGTGGTGTTGAGACGATAGGATTGAGAGTTGAATTAATCAACTAGGTTAATCGTGATTAAGCCGTTTAACTATTGATTTGAGGGAGAAGGTAAGTCAACCCTCAATTGCAAGAGGGCTACTCTGGTAGCCTATAATGTATCTCATGGTTTGGGAATTGAGAGTGTGGTCTTCGACCATTGTTGCACCTCCTAGCGGTTCATGATTGCATTGCCCATAACGTCCCATTCGAGTCCATGTGCTACAGTAGTAGTTAGGGGGAAGCGACACTCGAGTGATCCTTCTCATCTCGAGCTTTCAAACAATTTACCTTTTGCTTTGCTTTTATTTAAACCTCATAGTTTTCAACAAAAAATCAATCCGCTAGATAATGTTTCAAACAATGGAAGTAGTGGTACATGGACCGGCCCGGGTTGATATTTAAACATATTTGCCCTATATTGCACTCATCTAAGATTTATACTTGAGCCTTAGGTGGAAATTTGTTGTGATATTCGAGACGAGTCACATAACATACCAGGCTACTAAAAAAGCAAAGAACCACCTATCACATCCAAGGGAAGATTTTGCACGAGAGAGTCATTATAATAAGATTCCACATTATTTGTTAAGAAGACTCGGAAATCTGTTTCTTTTCTGTACCCTTTTCTTTGTTCTTTTGGGTTGAAGCCCCACGCACATTCAAATTAGCTTCTATCTCCCGACGGTTCCAGATGAACAGGATACCAAGCTCCATCAAGAAGTAAAGGATTACCTATCAGGCCCAAGGTTTGATTATGCACAGAGATGGACTGGGCTAGGCATGGCAATTACCCATCTATACCCAAACCCAAGTAGATCCATTCATAATGGGTTGGGTGTGGGTGAAGTGCATATGGGTTTGGGGGTTTGTAAATGAGTTTGGGTAAGGTACAACTATTGCTTCCATAATCTAAATGGGTATGTGTTGGATATGGATATCCATTTATTTGAGGGTGTTTTAACTACACATGCAAAAATTGGACCTATTTGTAAAACTTGAAAAGTTTAGGTACCAAAATGTAAGACACAAAATATTTAGGTACCAAAATGTAATTTTTCATCGATATTTTGAGGACTTATATGCAAAAAAAATTAAATTTAGGTACTAAATATGCATATCTATTAAGTTTAGATACCAAACTGTAATTTGTATTTGGGCATGGATGCAAACCCAAATCCATTTGTTATAAACCCAACTCATACCCATTAAACTCAAACCCATACCATTATCAATCTATTTGTATTTCATATCCAACCCAATAGAGTTTGACCGTAAAAAAGTCATGGGTACTGGGGGATTAGCGTGACAGGTGGTAATTTGAACAGAACTGAACCACTTTGTACACCACAATAGTAAGAATTGAATTGAGGGTCGAAAACAAATTGAACGCCCTGACAATCTGCAAGATGAGGAGAAGAGGTTATAGGCTCAGGCTACCACCCTGCTGGATGAGTGATTGACGTTGACTATTGACCATAAAATCGATTGCTGGAGGCGGCGAATCCAATTCCCAATTGAAAATAAAATTACACAGGGTTGGGTTGGAGCAAGACAAACACGACCTTACTCGTATCTGAGCGGAACCACCAAGTTTCAACCCTCGAATTTCCGTGAACCCACAGTCCCCCAGCTATTAATTCTCTTGTACCTCACGAAAACTCTATCGAAGCTTTTCACCGCCTCCGCCTTCTGTAACTCTCCTTGGCCGCCTCTCCTTCTGCCACTGCAAATCCCCCAAACTCCTCGTAGATGGTTGGGGTCTGAGGAAAACAAACACTATCTTCTTCTTAGTAAATCAACCCAACGCGAACGTAGGCAAGAAAGCCAAGCAATAACAAACCTTTGCCCGAGCGAGCTACTACGGTGGTGCTGAGACTGGGGAAACGTAATCGACAACCAAAATAAATTAAGGCGGCAGCACAAAAGGAGGTCGTGAGGAAGATAGATGTGCGTTGGTGATATTGGTGGTAGCTGCAAGTAAAAAGGAAAACAGGGAATATGTTGCGGTTCCAAAAAGGGACATCCAAGAGAGAAAAAAGCCGCCGAAATCACTCAGCCAGCTTATCTATGATTAGTGAATGGAAATATTAGTTATATGTAACGGGAGCCATATTTGATCTTCTTTTAGTGGAAATATTAGTAACAAAGGTTGCTTTGTTCATGTCCTTTCTTATGAAGTAGGAAGCTAATTAACTTCCACGTTACAAATACTACATGTGAAATAACTCATTGGTTTTGATTCATCCAAACAAGATAATTTAACTTCCAATTTTCTCAAATAACACACAAATAGCACATATAAAAAAGTGAATTATTTGGATCTACAAATACCACATTGCCAATAAACTCATCCAAACGACCTCTAGAGGTCAGGTTCTTGATCACGCTACTACATTTTTTTTGGAAAAAAAAGGATGACAGACATTCTAACAACACCATTGTTATTTTTGCCCTTCAAAATGGAAAGATAATAGGAGCTTAGGGAGAAAGGGGATATCAAGAGAAGTTCTGTGATTCACTAAAAGAGGTTAAATTTTTTTTTTTTTTAGAGAACATACATCGTAAAACTTCAAGAGGTCGGGAAAGGTAATTTATGACCCTAAATTTGGTTTTGGATGGGTTCTCCAGTATTCATCTTCCCAAGCTTCAACTCTCTTAATTGACTTGTCGTTCCCATCCCAAAAGTCTCGAAGCTCATTGGAATCAAAGGCAGGTGGCAAGTTGCAAGGAACGGAATGAGAAGGAGACCTCACCAGCGACTCCATCATGAACTTCCTGTACGTCCCATTTTGGTGGCACGCCATTGTTTCAGGGGACACCTCCACGGCCCCCGGCGGCACCGTCGGCTTAAACCTCAACAACTTGGCATATTCAGTCAGCAGATGAAACATGTAGTCATACACAAACTCCATCTTCATCTCCTCGAAAACGTACCTGCTCCCTGCTTCCCCAATACCTTGTGCCTGTTGTGCATTATATATAAGCTACATTATTGCTAAACCTTCCCGGACCCATGCCATGAACTTGTTTTCAGAATGACAATAATTTTAGAATCCAATTGCATAAATATTACATGAGTAATGATCAATCGAGAAAGAAAGAAAAGTCATGGTGACTACTGACCTCTTGACTGTGGTTATTGCCCCACTCTACGGCGTATTTGAGAGAAGAACACTTGGTGTTGTCACGAATAGGCCAATAGTGCTGCAATGGGGACATGCCTCTACTGAAGAAATCATGATATGCTGATCTCACATATAGAACCATGGAGTTGCATGCCAATATGTACTTCTCGCTCACGGACCAAGCCCATCCTTCTATATATATCTTGTACCTACACTCAATTAATTATTATTCGTTCAGGACGCCTAGGTAATTAGCTAGCTTGCATGCAGAATGTTTCATAGTGAAATTTAATATTACGTGATCACAAAGAAAAATGGTGTGTAAAAATAATAGAGATCTGAATATAATTATATTTTACTAATTAATTATAAAATTTGCTTGATTTATAGGATTGGTAATGAGGCGGGGAAAAATGGTTACTTGTGGGTACACTGGTCTTGAAGTTTTGACTGCCTGTATCCCTGGGCAGATTCTACTTTCCAATCCTGAAGAATCACATTTGAGCTATGTAATTAGAATTGGAGTAAGCATATAATTGGAAATATTAATGATTTAGAATTGAGTGATTTAGTGTTAAAATGAAGAAGACGACCTGAGTGTAGAGACGAGTAGTAGTGTTCCAATAATGGGTGAAGTTGCAGTTGAGAAGATCCTTTCTAGTCGCGGCCACAGTGGGATTGCCTCTCCAATAAGCGTAAGGCGCCCTGTCCTTCCATTTCAGTCTGTTGTTGCCTTGTTGGATGTCCTCCAACACATTCTTCCATGGCCTTATGTTCGTCTCCACCCTTCATATCATTCCATTACACAAATGAAAGATAAAATATATGCTAGGCTAGGCTAGCAATAGGGGACTTACGTTACGTACCATCCCCAAAAGGACCAGTCCGGAAACACAATGTCCAAGCTGGCCCCATCGGAGCAGTAGCGGAAGAGCGGTGGCGGCGGGGGTCCGGAGTTGGGGCGGCGGCGGCGGACCACGGGGCGGTCGTCGCAGTCGAACAAGAGCTCGAGATCGGGCAGCCTGCCCGGGTACAAGCGCAGGAGCTGGAGGATCCCCCAGAGAGTGTACACATCTCGGGTCTGGAGGGCAGGTCGGTACTTGTCCACGTACGCCCTCCCCTCCACGATCACCAGCCGGAAGTGCGCGCTCCTCCGCCCGCCGTCCACCATCTCTCTCGTGATCCCGCTCCCTTTCCACGGCCGGAGGTCCTCGTGGATCCACCGGAAGTAGGCCGGACAGCTCACGTTCGCGGCAGGCTTGTGCCTCGTCGTCGTCGTCGTCGTCGTCGTTGGGTAGTAACTATTCCTGGTTGCGGCGGTGCTCCCCCGAGATGGGCATCGGAGAGGGAACTCCTCCTGCAGCCGGCCGCTGTGCCAAATGGAGCTGACGGCGGACGACTGCACAGACAGACAGACAGACAGACAGACAGACAGACGGACAGACGACCAATAGTTAATCAAACCGGCCAAACTATATATAATTAATTAATTAATTAATAGCATCTATTCTTTCTTGGTACACATGCATCAGCCATCAAGCTGGTTGTTATGTTCAGAAAATATAATTGACTTACTGAGTCGAAAACACCAACAAAGAGGAGGAGGCCAACAAGGACGAAGAAGACGAAAAGGATTAGAGCAGTGGTAGATGAGTAATGTCGTCTGCTGTTGCTAGGCCGGGAAGATGAGTAGTACTGTTTACCCATACTCGGAAGCTAGCTAGCTAGGTAGATTAATATATCAAGCTGCTGCTGCTGCATGCCAATGCCAATGCCAGGCCACCCTTTATAATATAATAACTCTCGCTATCTAGCTGTAGCTGTAGCTATTGCATGTCCGGCAAGCTGATGAAGGAGTGTTGGAACACGCTCTGCTTCACGAGAACAGGCCATGTCACCACACGTTAAACCTACATGTGATGTGCCTACCGTTCCATCCTATGATTTTGAGTTATCACTTCTATTATTAATTTATCTACATTTTTCTTTTTGCATCTAATCCTGTTCCTGTCCTGGGTATGGAATTGACTTTAGGTCGTCGGCTGTCATGAACAAAACCCAAGGGTACGTTTATGGTTATATAATTTTAAAACATAATCAAAGCTCCACAACGTTTCTCCACACCCCAGATGACAAGAAAAACCTAAATCATTGCGTCGTGTATTTCTTTTGCTTCCGTATACTGATGCGACCCCGCTCACCCCATATGTGCACATTCTAGTCCAAGATATATCTTCACATGGACGATGGGCCAAGAGACGAATTAAGAGGTTCAAAGAGATATTGGGAGCATTCAAGATGGGGGAAAATGGCTCTGCCAGCAAGGCCTACGAGTTTGTTGATGTGAAATCAATTGGCAGAACATATAATTCTTGTGGTCCAAAGATGAAGGCTCGAATACAACGATATAAGGATCAAATGGGATCATTCTTGATGGATATGGAATTGCATCGAGGAAAGCCCATCACATTACTACAATTTGTGGACCAGAATCAAGAGAAGATGGGCTTGGAAGGAAGAGTGAAGATTTTGGCCTAGAAGTAAGGAATTCTCCATGGTGTGAACACAAGGTGTGAAAGGAATACAAGTGTGAAAGGAATATCAGGTGTGAACACAAGCCATGTGAGGGAGGATTGCAATGCTAAAATCTAGGGAGTTGTTGACCAAGTCTTTTCCTTGTCTATTAAGGATTGTGTTTTCCTTTTACTTTTCCTTTAAGGTTTTGTTTTCCTTTTAATTGTAGGATTTGGTCATTTGTTTGGTTTCTTTCTTAGTTTAGGATTGGATTTTCGTTGCCTATATAAGGAGGATGAGTCCCTCATTGTAATTCATTCTATTATCAATCAACTTTCAAGTTTCAAGTTCAAACGAACTGGTTCTTTTGTGCAAGACTTCTGTTGAGGATTCCAGGAGATTGTACGTGTCTCTTATCAACTAGAGAACGCGTCTAGTTGAGGCGAGCATCGACCTATATCAATTGCCCCTTTCCACGAGTTGATTCTGTCCGATTGGTTTAATATACCAATTGCCCTTTGTCACGAGTTGGGATTGTCCGATTGATTCCGCATCTATCTTTTATTTCAAGTTGGAGAAAAGCTTCGAAAATCCTTAAAAAGAAGGAAGGCTGCGTACTTTGGTCATATAATCCGAATTCGAGGATTCTCTTCGGATTTGGATCATATCATATACAAACTATTTTACATGGTATCAGAGCTCGCTTCGCTCAATGGATTTTCTTGCAGTTCTTTTGTGATGGCGAAGGACGAAGAGAAGACAAGGATGTCATCCAATCTAATGCCAGTGCAGAAGCAATCTCGTTGCACTCGCCATTGTTCTTTCATTATTCTGAGGGCGGTCCCAAGCAGAGGCGGACCTAAGAAGGGGCAGGGTGTGTCGTCCGACACACCCTCGCTCGAGAATTTTACGAAGTACCTACATATTTTTGGTACAAAATTTTTTACTTCGGGATAGCCGACACACCTTCAAATGCAAACTTTTGAGTTTGTCTTTCACATGAAGATGATGATTGAAGTGCTTGCAATTACAAATGAGTTGTCTATAGCATTACAAAGGAAAGATCAAGACCTTGTTAATGCTATGGAACTCATTAATTGCTCAAAGAAGAGACTACAAGAGTTGAGAGATGAAGGGTGGGAACCTCTATTTGATGATGTGGTTTCATTCTGCACTAAGGAACAAATTCATGTTCCTAACATGAATGACTTGTTCACTCTTGCTGGAAGAACAAGACGTAGCACCCCTTATCAGCCTACAAACTTGCATTACTATCAAGTCGATTTATTCTATGCAGTTATAGATTTGCAGTTGCAAGAATTGAATACTCGATTTGGTGAGGTGAACACTAGATTGTTGGACTGCATTTCTTGTTTTAGTCCAGCTAACTCTTTTGCTTCTTTTGATAAAGCAAAGTTGAGGAGTCTTACTGAGTTTTATCCCGAGGAGTTTCCATCCAATGTGCTCTCACGACTTCATCAACAATTGGGGGGCTACATTTCTCATGTCAAGGAGGATAAGAGCTTTGATGGATTGCGAGGAATCGACGAGCTAGCTAGGAAATTGGTGGAAAGGGGAAAGGACACTCTTTATCCTTTAGTTTACTTGTTAAAGTTGGTGTTGACTGTTGACCTTACCTGTGGCAACTGCAAGCTGCGAAAGAGCATTTTCAGCTATGAAGATAATCAAGAACGATCTTCGAAATCGGTTGAGTGACCAATTTATGAATGATTGTTTAGTTGTGTATATTGAAAAAGATTTGCTTTGCAGCATAAGTGATGAATGTATTTTAGAGACATTTCAGCAGATGAAATGTCGTCGCGGTTTGTTGTAAACATGACATTGTGAACCTTATGAATTAATTTCTTTTAATTTTTACTTAATTTTTAATTTAATTTAATTTAATTATTATTGTATTTTATCGGCGACACACCTCTCCGACAATCCTGGGTCCGCCACTGGTCCCAAGTAGGGCCAAGGTGTGTGGGCCAACACACCTTCGGCTGAAAATTTTGTGAGAGAGCCCAGTTTTATCGGTACAAAATATTCGATTCCGAAACTTCCGACTCACCTTTAATAATTTTAAGTGACACCTTTATTATGCTTACAAAAATTTATTGTTATAAAGTTACATATATGTGTATATATACGGTATTTAATTAGTTTTTATTAACAATAAAGAACATGTTATAAACACGCTGCTACGGATCGGGAAATCGCAAGAATCGACAAAGCAAGAATACGAAAGCGAGAATCGAAAACACGACACACAATTTACGTGGTCCACTAACACGATGTGTGTTAGCTACGTCCACGGGCGAGAGAGAGCCAGTTTCACTATATCAAGGAGATTATAGATTACAGAGGAGTATGAGAAGTATTTATAGTACTTCTCCATGTGGGTCTAAACCTAATCCAATCTGGCAAAGGAAACGGTTACAGACCAGGCCCAGAACCCGAACCCAAATAACATTGAGCCCATACACCGTGGGCCGGGGGCAACGCACCCCACTCGCTGACCAGTCGAGACTCCCGATTACCAGTGAGACCCTCGATTACCAGTCGTAGCGGCTGATAGTCCGATTCAAGTCACATCAACAAATCTCCACCTTGACTTGAATCCTCTTCCTCTGAAATCTCTGATGTACTCTGCTCCCTCTATCTCTCTCACTCTCTCTCCCGCCATCAATGCCCCACAGGGCAGAGTCACCCACTCAAGACATTCAGCAAGTCCAAGCAGTGTTGGAACTTGCCATGTGGAACTGCCTTCGTGAACATATCAGCAGGATTATCCGCGGTACCAACCTTCTTCACCTTAATCCTCTTCTCTGTCCTCAAGAAATGATACCTCACATAGATGTGCATAGTCCTCTCATGGTGGACTTGATCCTTGGCCAAGCATATTGCACTCAAACTATCGCAATACACCACTGCCTGGTCATGATGTAGACCCAGATCACCAACCAGTCCCTTCAACCATATTCCCTCCTTAGCAGCTTCTGTCAACGCCATATACTCTCTGCCTTAGTGGTAGACAATGACTCCCGATTACCAGCGAGACCCCCGATTACCAGTCGTAGCAGCTGATAGTCCGATTCAAGTCACATCAACAGAACAAAATAATTTTTAGTTTCTCTTGAAAGCCCACAACCCTTTATTTTGAACATGGAGTTTCAGTCCACGCCCTTTGTAGAAAAAAACAATGATATTGTGAAATTTATGAAATATCTATTTTTATTTATTTAATATTTTATTATTATTAGCCGGCACAACTATTCAAAAATTATGGATCTTTTTCCATTGTAAGGAATTCGATTTTTACAAGTAAATGCTCCATACCCAAGTAGGTCCACAAAGGGGATCATGACCAAATTCTTTTTGGGTCGTCTCGGACCTTTCAATTAGCCCTTATCTCCAAATCTAAAAAAAAATATCAAGACTTTTTTCATAAAAAGGATTTACTTGTTACTAATATAGTTTAGCCCCTCTCATTCTTTAGATCTCTTGTTTTATTTCACTCGGATCTCGATGAAAGACTCAATCAATGAGAAGCTAGTTTGAGAAGTTTATTATTATTTTTTTATGGCTAAATGGGGCAAAACACATCTTTTTGAAAAATGGAAGAAAAACCCCTTCGTTACAAGAGAAGTTAAAGAGTACTTACTATCAAGAAAAAAACAAGAAAAAGGGAGTGTTAGATGCTACACATTGATTCTTATTATTTGTTTACGCGATTTTTTTTGAACCATATGCATTTAAAAGGTGCATGTACGGATTGGAAACTTGAGTAAGAAGTAGCTTTTTTGTGATTTTTCGATTTTGAAAGTGGGAACCCTTTTCTTTATCTTTCTTTGGTGTAACTGCTTCAGCCGGATGAGAGGAAACTTTCACGTCCAATTTTTAAAATCATTAAAAAGGATATTAAAAATACGAACTACCCTATTAGTAAGTAAATAACTGTTTTTTTATCTTTCGTTGACTCTGGGACGAGTGTAGGTTGTCAGCCCTGAACCTCATTGTAGTTGTGATGGTTGTACCTGTGGAGGCTGCAAGTGTGATTTGCCGCGGCAGTAGCACGAGAAGGCTGAGAGAGCATCATTTCGAATTTCGAATGAGATTAGATGACGCCTTTTTTTGTCGTGCACATGAAATTTTTAAGCATGAAGCCTACTCCTACATTGGATGATGCATATCAAGCTGTTTCTACTGAAGAACAACAACACAACATCACAACTGGTCGCCGACCCGTTGTAGAGTCAGCGATGTTCTTGACAAATGGTGAGCAAGCATGTTTGGAACGTGATCAAGAGACAAGCCTCGAGGTACCCACTATCATAAGATGGGACAAAACAATCGATACTTGTTACAAATTCCATGGATATCCTCCTGACCTTCCAAAGTCTGGACAGGGTGAGCGTTCGAATAAGCAAAGACAACAGCGCACTGACAGACAACCACGAGTGGCCCACGTCGAGCCTGAGGCAAACTTCTTCTCAGGTCTCTTGGCAGCACAGTTTGATCAGTTGAAGCAACTTCTTGTAGATTCGTCAAAATCCTCATCGTAGAGCAAATCTAGAAGCAAATATGGTCGTTCTCTTATTTATCTAATTGGATGATTGATTCGGGATGTAATGAGCACATCGTGCGAGATAGTAGTTGGTTAGATGAACTAGATGCATAAATTGCTTTTGTCGTTGTGCATATACCGAATGGGAGAGAGTGCCTGTGAATGGGACATGATCGGTCTGGTTGACTGAGAGATTTACTCTCTGCGTGTCGTGCTTGTACCTGAGTTCAAGCATAATCTTTTGTGTGTAAGGATAATTTCTGTGATGGTTGATAGAGAATTAGATCATCTTACCACTTTCAGCTATTTATAGTGTTGAACCTGCAAATTGCTCTATGGTTCTTTACAGTAAATACCCTCTTTAATTATGGGAAATTTCATGTTTGAAAGTGTATCCCATGCTTAATAATTTTATTCACCGAGAATTATCGTAATATAAAGCTCCGGGTCTAAATATAAAGGCCATGCGAAATATGTACTAGTCATAACTAATCACGATATAGCTGTCCGTGATAGTTTCTATCTTCTAATCACGTGAGGGCGTGTCTAATGCCAATGATTTGAACACAAATCCAACAAAAAATTATTTACAGACAGGATGTACACCTTTTAACACATTATTTACTATGCAATATCAATTACCGCGAGAGAGGTTTGAGTTTGGTGTGAGGTTATACGAAGAGCAAAGGGATGAGGATCGAGTCGAGGACAGAGGGGCAACAACGCTGGCGGTGCAATGGAGGAGGGATGGCGTTCCGTTGGTCGTCAATGAAGGAGCAGTTGGTATTGGGATGGAGTGAGTCGTGGTTGAGAGGGGGAAAGGAGGACGTCGTGTTGAGTGGAGGACGACATCGTGTAGAGTGGCGGTCAGGTGGGCTAGCTGGATGAGTTTTTGGGGTGCACTGACTCCTCGTCAGTTATTAACCGACTACTAACCAGTTACCTGACCTACTCTATTCTTTCACAAACACCGACAACTAACTATAAATAACTGTTATTGGTTAGCCGAATAACACAGAGCTTTCAGGTTTGGTTAGGCGGTTAACCGAATAACCAACAACCGTTTATCACCCCAACACCTAACTATAAAAATAAATCTAGCTATATCATCCTTATAAAAAAAATCATACGAGTGGATTTAGGATTTTCTTTTAAGTTCAGTATCAATGCAAGTCAAGTCATTGATAGCCAAACAAAGACAGATTGCCAACCAACGTATGTATAGCTTGTTGGGGTAATCAAAACTGTAACCACAGGTCCACAACAGACTTTTCTTCCCCAATAAAAACAAAATTAAGCATCTAAAACATATCTAATTCATCCAAATGAGAACCGATGACCTAATGAAAGTGAATTCTAAACCCAACATTAATTACTTGTAAAGAAACATATAGGCTAATAAAACTGAAAACTCGTTTATAAATAAAAGAAACGCCTTTAAAGAAAACTGATTACTCAAAACCAGCCGAACGGTTACCATAAAATGTAGTGCTAACCTGAACTATATATGCTTAATTAGACAGGTTAGCCGAAGCAGCTGAAATGTGAAACCGAATTGCTAACCTACATACATACTATATATATATGTATGGCTAGGAAATCTGCAGCCTTGGAAGTGGTCCATGTGAAAGGGTAAGCAATTAGCTTAATTTAAGCTAGCGTTTCGAATGATGACGACGAGGTACAAAATTAGTATGCCCAAACAGTACTCTTCCCGAGGACTAATAAGCAACAGCCGATATTGCTCCGTCACTGCGTTGATCTTTTTTGTCTTCTTCCTCCTCTTCGGCTTCCTACTCTTTGTTGGTTTTCTCAACTTGGTAATTACGCGCCTCTATCTTCACAAGAATGAATTAACTTCATTTTAATGCCTAATTGTTTTACTGCACAGCCAGAATTATAATTATTAATTGTTGTTGTGCGCAAGAGTTTGATATAATCTAGTGGTACTATTTAAATTGGAGGTATCAGAATCTGTTAAACAGCATCTACATTATTTATATCACCCCGATTCAAAGAAGTATAATCCCTAAATACATAAATTATTAGCAACAAATGTTGAAATAGTCATATTTTCAGTTTGGTAGCTAGGTCATATTCAATGTTAAGTCTTGGAAACGTTGTCATTTATTTAATTTTCAGTCCGGCGTCGTGTCCATCTCACAAGTGAAAACCAGCAGCCGGAGCCGGCAGGAGGAGTTCCTCCTCCGATGCCCATCTCCTGGGACACCAACGACGACGACGACTGCCCACTACCCGACAAGGCAGAATAGGGCAACGCAGGCGTGGAACAGGAGCTGCCCGTCCTACTTCCGGTGGATCCACGAGGACCTCCGGCACTGGAAGGAGAGCGGAATCACGAGGGAGATGGTGGAACGCGGGCGGAGGAAGGCGGATTTCCGGCTGGTGATCGTGGGCGGGAGGGTGTACGTGGACAAGTACCGGCCGGCGATTCAGACCAGAGACGTGTACACCCAGTGGGGGATCCTCCAGCTACTGCGGCTGTACCCGGGCAGGCTGCCCGATCTCGAGCTCTTGTTCGACTGCGATGACCGCCCCAGGGTCCTCGCTAAGGAGTTCCCGCGCCCCAATTCCGGACCGCCGCCGCTCTTCCGCTACTGTTCTGATGGAGCCAGCTTGGACCTTGTGTTTCCGGACTGGTCATTTTGGGGATGGTAACTACGCCTCGCATTGCATTGCATTATATTATATTATATTCTATCTTCCTATCCTATTATATTATATGGTACACCATGGTCTTATAAAAACTATATAAACAAATTTTTTGTTACTACTTTCCGGTGGTAGTTAACTAATTATAATCCAAAATAAATTTTTTATTTACTAATTTAGTTGAAACCAAATCGTTCATTACAATTTTATGTTAAGATATCTCTACTACTTTTATGTAATAATATCTTAATCTTTTAGATAGACATATGCCAAATATTTTTTTTACTCATACATGAAGAATAACTATCCCTCTATAAGTTTTACCTAATATATTTATAATTTACATATCTTGAAATAGAACGTTATTATGGAAATCTATACTTAATGTGTGGTCTAATAATAAATTCAATTTATATAATATTTTAATTAATAATGAATCAAATCTAGTTCATGGCATGGTGAATATATAAATAAAAATTAGTTATCCCTCCATAAACATTTCATAATGGGTTTGTAATTTATCGTAAGTATAATAGAATAGTGTCACGCACATATTTCATATATGTGGTCTAATAATGAACAATGATTAAATCATATTTGATTAAAATGGTAAGTAAAAAATTTATATTCCTTACAAAACTTTGTGCAAGCACAATCAAGGACACTTTTGTATAATGCAAATAATAATGATTTTATGGTTAAATTTAGTGTAGAAGATAAAATCTGACCTAACAGACATTGCATAATGCACCTAATAAATAGATTAGCGTAGAGGATAAAAACTAACCGTACAAACTATTACACAATGCACATGATAAAGATTGACCGTACAAAACTTTTGTATAATGCACATAATAAAGAGTTTATTCATGATAAAATTTGGTGTAGGGGATATAGACCTTTTATGAATAGTACCACCAAACCTTATTACAAAACCTTTTTGTTAATGGACTGTTGTATAATGCAAATAATAAAGAGTTTCGGTTAAAATGGGGTGTCGGGGATAAAATCTGATCGAACAAATTTTTTTTCTAATGTACATAATAAAGAGTTTATAGAAAAATTGGATGTGGGAAATAAAATCTGGCATAATATATTTTTTTTAATGCACATAATAAACTTATGATAAAATTGAGCGTAGGACATAACAAATTATCATACAAAACATTTATATAATGTACATTATAAACCGTTTATGGTAAAATTGGGTGTAGAAATATAAACATCTTATGAACAGTACCACTGAAAAGACTGTCCCTATTTTTCCGTGAGGAACCGTGTGCAACTCCTCCTGCTGCTTCCGCTAAGAGTAATATAATGTGGTATACTGGTATGAAAATTGAAATATATACCACGGAGGTATTAGTAGTAAGAATATACATTATATAATTAACTTGAAATGAATAATATTTTCTATACCATAATTAATTCATATTTTTTTGTATATTTCTAAAAATATGAGTTACAATGAAAAAAATATAACTTGATTAAGAAAAATAGTTTGTAAAAATAGGTCATTTAATTTCAATCACTGGATTAATTAAAGTCTTTATGTTATGCTATGAAGTGAGCATAATTTTAAGGTTATGGCCACATGAAATACTTTATAATTTTGCGTTTTTTTACAGTTTTGGCTCTAGTAAATTATTATTTTTTAAAAAGGTTTGCAGTTATTGCCGGATTAAAATATCATCAATATTATTGTACGTTATCTTTTGGACACATTTTTATATGATTTTGGAGGAGTAGTTATGAGATAGTCGATGGTATTTGAATGATAAATTTGTTGCTCGGATCCTATATAAAATGACGTACTTATTAAGACTATGGTAGTTGAATGAAAATATTGTAAAATTATACAAAAAGTAGGTTGCTAGTGTGGTAACTAGGGGTAATGTTTTCCAGTATGTATTGTTTGGTGGCATGAAGGGCGGAAACCAACATAAGGCCATGGAAGAATGTGTTGGAGGACATCAAACAAGGAAACAAAAGAAGGAAATGGAAGGACAGAGAGCCTTACGCTTATTGGAGAGGAAATCCAAATGTGGCCCCCACTAGAGGGGACCTTCTCAAGTGTAACTTGAGTGACAACTATGATTGGAACGCTCGCTTGTATACTCAGGTATATTATATTTATTTACTAGCTTATAACCCGGCCCGTTGATCGGAATGTTTATATTTGATTTTTTATATTTTTTATGTTACGTTAAAGTCTATCAACCCGTTTAATTTTATCGACAATCTTTCAATTGAGATGAAACATAAAGAAAGAATATATAGGTCGAACATTCAGAGAAATATCATCATCATTTGCGAAAATAAAATATAAAAATGTATAAAACATCTCATTTTCATAATGATAATTAAGCCCAGTTAATATGTTATTAGTTAGTTGATTGTTAAGAAAGATAGAATATAAAAGCTCACTGAAATTCCCACACGGCCCATAGATAGTTTGAAACTGAATCTAAAACCTCACAATCCTACGTAAATGGTTCAATGCTCTCATTTTGGGGGCAATATGCCACTAATAAAAAAGAAATGGAGGGTTGTAGGTTCAAGTCAACTATATACTAACAACTCGGCTAAGAGAGGACCATCAAAACTTGAGAGCAAACGACAAAATTGGATTACCTTCAATATACTAATAGACTCTATCAAAGTAATATGACGCAAAATTAGACAGTCCTTATCTATCAGTTCCAGCGGGTTGAATAAAGAATCGACCTACTTCATTAAATCAATCAATAATTACTCGTTTTAAGATAGAAATAGGTTGTGGTAGCTGCAAAAACCATAAACCTAATGATCCAATAGCCACCACTCTCCATTGAACGACCAAATTTTTATCTACTCTATCTTCAATCTCAAGAAGCATATGTTTCAACTAAACATTCACTTTCTAATCCTCCTTCTGCAACTCCATTTCTGCTACTTTGATGGACCTTCTCTCTGCGGCCCTCAATTTCTCTTCCAATTGGGGTTCTTGTCAACTCGCTCTTCAACTCCTCAATCCCCTTCCTGTGTTTTGCCAACTCATCTTCCTCAGGGGCAGTTCTAATATGTTCGCTAAAACCAAAACTCATCTCCAATTCCATAAATATGCTCATATCCCCCCTTGCATGCCTTCACCTGCTTCAGCACACTTCCATGTCCTTCAATATCCTCTCCGTTTTCATTAATATCCTCATCATCTCTCACTTCTCTCTCTTCAAATGCTCCACTTTTGCTTCCGCGTCTTTCAACACCCTCCTCAATTCGATCACTACCCTCAGTAACTCCCTCTTCTCTGCCTTAACCTGCTACAGTTGAATTTTTCTTCCCCCCACCACTCTCATTCTCAAACTCAATCCTAACTCTTCTACTCCAAGTTCAACACCCAAACTCCTAGACTGTTGCATGAAAGCTCAATTTCTAAATAATTCTAAAACAATATCAAAATTTGATTAGTGAGTTGGACCATAAGAATAAAAAAATATGAGGAAAATTATGGTTGCGGAGAACATTAGTTATCACAAAATCAAATATGAGTGAGAATATTGTAATTGAAAAGAAACTTTTTTCTAATTTTGATCTTATTTTATTATTTCAATAGCTAAGCAAAGAACAAAAATAAAGTATCGGAAACAAGCAACAAAAAAGTAGACAGGGCTCTAGGAAAGTACAACTACCCTGTTCTACACAAACATCTCTTTTGCTTACAAACAAATATAGTACCCAAACCATCGTTCAAATTCATTTTCTTTATTTTATAAAAATCATACATAAACAACAAACTTAGATAAATCGGGAAGGAAATAATAGCCTACCAGTTCAAGTCGATGAACCTTATATGAAGATAGAAACTCATTGAAGTTGAAACCTAATAACAGAAAGAGGAGAAATGACACAGGAGATCCCCCGAGCTTTAAACATCGTATCAGGCAATAAGATCAAAAGAAATAGATATTCTGCATGTTGTGCTCATGAGACAACGTGAAATAAAAGTCGTTTTCTTATTAATCAGATAGATAAAACCATGAGACATAGAGAAGAAATGAATGACTTACATGTGCAAAGCGATTAACCTTGGTCGGAAACCGAAAACCTATTAAAGGTCAATGCCTGGTATAGGAAGATGAGTAAAGGCGAAAGGTATAACTGATCAAACATTGCCTTCGGCAATAGAAGCAACAAAATAGTTCTTCTGGTAATACATCAAGGAGAGACAGAACCATTGGGTGATGCCAATGCAGAGGAATCGAGCGAGATAATCAAGGCCAGGCCATAACTACTTGATTGAACTCCATTCTATTCGCCATGGATTGATATGAGAGTTGAAATCTTCTACTTGCCCAGCCTAAATTCCCAAGAATAAAACTGCAGTGCCAAGAGATACCCGAATGTTGATTTTCAAATGGTCCTTATACTGGGAAGTGAAAGCACGCAAACTATTGCACGATGGAGGGAATTTCAGAGAAAATTAGAAAGAGATAAGAACAAAGATAAAAAGGCACAAAATTTAAATTTATATTGAAAAATGCAAGGACACAACACGTAATAAAGGAAATAGTTTCTTCCATGTTAGCCAATTACCAATATACCTTTAGCGAAACATTAAGGAGAGAGCATGAATTCTAAAAATTGATAAAATTAAATGAAACTCTACTATGAAAATTGAAGTATTAAGCACCATGAAAATACATATGGTAGACTTAGTTCCCTTGTTAATCATGATGAAAAAGTTCTCTGCTTTTCACAGTTTCAATACATGTATGCTTTGTATTAAAAAAGGAACAACAAATACACTTAGTATAATTGGTTATGACAACTATCTTTGTTTGAAGAGACCCAGGTTCGAGTCTTGATATTGATATTTTTTATGAAATAAATGATTAATTATAAAGACAAAAATATCCTTCCTACTTTCACTCTCATTGGAGGAAATTTGAAATGGAGAAAAGTTTACAAAACTCTACTATATATTAATGGAGGATTTATTATATATGCATGCAACATAACTTATTGTGTGGAGAAGAAAATATGTTATTTTCCTTAATACTTTTAGATTAACTGTTCAGGACTGGAAGGAAGAATTCAAAGAGGGCCCCAAGCAGTCAAGACTTGAAGAACAGTGTACCCACAAGTAATTAAAACATATTCATATTATCTTATAACTTTGATCCAAGGAAATGTTTCTAATTAATTCAGCCTAGCTAGGTTCAAAATATATATAGAAGGATGGGCTTGGTCCGTGAGCGAGAAATACATATTGGCATGCAACTCAATGGTTTTGTATGTGAGATCAGCATACCATGATTTCTTCAGTAGAGGGATGTCCCCATTGCAGCACTATTGGCCTATTCGTGAGAACACCAAGTGTTCTTCTCTTAAATATGCCGTAGAGTGGGGCAATAACCATAGTGAAGAGGTCAGTCAGTAGTCACCATGACTTTTCTTTCTTTCTCGATCGATCATTACTTATGCAGTGTAATTGGATCCTAAAATTATTGGCATTATTCGAAATCAAGTTCAAGGGTTTAAAGGAGAAAAAAGATTGTGTTCATGGAGGTTTAACCATATTGTTATTATATAATAATATATAATGCACAACAGGCAGAAGCTATCGGGGAAGCAGGGAGCAGGTACGTGTTCGAGGAGATGAAGATGGAGTTTGTGTACGACTACATGTTTCATCTGCTGACTGAATATGCCAAGTTGTTGAGGTTTAAGCCGACGGTGCCGCCGGGGGCTGTGGAGGTGTCCCCTGAAACAATGGCGTGCCACCAAAATGGGACGTACAGGATGTTCATGATGGAGTCGCTGGTGCGGTTTCCTTCTGATTCCGTTCCTTGCAACTTGCCACCTGTCTTTGATCCCAACGAGCTTCGAGACTTTTGGGATGGGAACCACAAGTCAATCAAGAGAGTTGAAGCTTTGGAAGATGAATACTGGAGAACCCATCCAAAACCAAATTTAGGGTCATAAATTACCTATGCTAACCTCTTGAATCTAAGTTTGATGTGTGTTACGTTCTCTCAAATTTCTTTTTACCTCTTTTAGTGAATTACTGAACTTCTCTTACTTTCTCCTTTATCCCTAAGCTCCTATTGTCTTTCCAATTTGAAGGGAAAAGATAGTAATAGGTTTGTTAGGATGTCTGCCATGTGATTTTTTTCAAGAAAAATGTAGTAGCATGATCACGCCTGCAAGAACCTAACATATAGTAGTGTGTATGTTGATCTAGATATGCTTCATATCCCCAATGGTGAACTATATTTTCTAGAATTCTAATAGCTGACATACTATAATGAATACGAAAAATGAGAAAGAGGAGAACCATTTCCTTCATTAGAAGCGTTCCCCATCTATAACAGCATTAATTCCCGGGAAAGTGAAGAAAAGTCATTGTCTTGGTCTCATTGATAAATTTAGCCACATGGAACTCAAAACATAACTGATTAGATATGGTCAGCCATCTCTGGGAGAAAAAGCGGACTACCTTTCCTTGCATGGACGCTAACACCTCTCGGGTAGACTACAAACTGACTCCCCGACACTTCTTGGCCTTTGCCTACCGCTACATGTCGTTCGTCTACAACGCGTATCGCTATTTTTCCTTTGCCTCACCAACTACCCTGAAATTTAGATGCGCTGGCTATTCATAGATCTGTTATACTAGCGATTTAGCTATTTTCACTAAAGCCTTAGTAGTGGGTATTAGGTTAGGGAATACCTGCAGAACCGTGTAATTGTGGAACAAGATAAGCACGTTACATGTCCTGAGCGCGACTATTGTAGTTATTCAACAGGGGATCACCGCCTAGCTTAAAGCTGTCTTAGCTTATCTCAAGAGTCCCAGTACTATCAGGAAGTTGCTCTATGGCTCGCAACAACCTGCTCTTTGGTTCTAAGTACTCTACGTGGATCGCCGCACACGATACACTAGGATATGTTGCAGTTATAAAAGTTCACAAGTAGTGAGGATCATGGCCCAGTATTCAGCCTCCTCCAAAAATCGGGATATTTCTATTAACTAATTCTCTAATAGCTACAAACTATGTGAATGGAAGAAATCTATTATATTCGCAACTTTTATGCATGAAGTAATTCTCGATCTGTTGTTGTTGATGATTCTAAAGTATCGGGAATGAAAAGCCAAGATCATCATATATAACTATAACGGCTTCTGCCTGTTGTGGCTCATAGTTTTTTGCAACAAAATATGTACATTCACTATTAGCAGAAGGAAGTGACTTTCTCAGGGGACTTGTTCAAGACAATAAAAAAGTCTCTTGTGAACAAGTTAAGCCATAACATTATAACTCGAGATGCTTTACTTTACCCAACAAACTATTTAGTTGTTATGATACATCTAGCTATAAACCTACCATGTAAATGGTACTCGATTGCCAATTCAATATAGATGATTGTACTCGATCGAAAGGTAATCCTAACATTAAATAACTAGGTTGAATTTGTTTTACCATTGTCTCGGATTTTAAGCTTAATTTCTTTTTATTTTTCCTTTTTTTGTAAATGTGCATACATTTCTAGGAAACTTGAATGACTTTGTCCGTAACAAATCTTGTCGTCAAGGGTGCATTGTTGAGGCATGTATTGCAAAAGACTGCCGAGATTTTTGTAGTAGCTATTTGCAAAGTGTTGAGATGAGAGCAAAGCGTATAGATAGTATGATAATGGCATGGATTTACCAACTAATGGCTTTGAATCTTCAACCAAAAAGCTAGATCTATAGGAGGTTTTTCTCGTTCTAAATTATACCGTACAGAATTTTGTAAGATGCAATGGTAGATATTGAATAATTTTTAAGAGATAGAACCATTTTTTAAGTAAGTTCATTTATCAAATGTAAAATTCAATAGAATAAGTGGAGGTTATGCAATGTTCACGGGCAGGAGACAAATGCCATGCCATAAGGGATTGAAAATCTCCCTCTAGGGGTGAAATTCAAGACTTCATAGGCATGAAGCAATTGTCACGCCCTGAAAGAGTGAAAATCTCCCCTAGACGGTGAAGCGTGCAATTTCTAACTGCCTTTACCCATCTGTGGGTAATTCAAATTTGATGGTCACCAGACCGTGACAATTTCCTGCTGGCCGTGACATTGGACAAAATTGGCAGGCAGCAAACGCATGCGTTTTTGGATGAGAACATGGTCGGGATGCCAATGGCACCTCCTTGACATCTACTGTGACATTAGCTCTCGGGCTGTATATATAAAAAGACAACAACAGGGAGTGAGAATTCAAGCCTAGAAGATGAAGAGGATGAAGATCTTGACCAATTCTGCAATCTCTCTCTCTTGTCTATTAATTAGACCTCTTTCTCTTAGGTTGGAGAACCCTAGGTCTAGATTTTGGTTTGAAGTTGATGTATGTGACATATCCTATGTTTGATTGATGATTTTACCTATTTTATGGATGGTTTTCATGAATTGCATGATTTTTATTTCCGCTTCATGTCAATTGAGATTTTGACCTAAGAGGGAGATAATCCCCTTAGAGCCCATTATTGGCGTCTCCGGGTCACTCCTATCGTATGTCATCCGGGTAATCCCCAATGGAATTGATTCAATGTACCTCCTAAAGATATATGTATCCCTTGACCCTTGGTTGAATAGAGCACCTACCCATCCATCAATTCACTATTCTGGGTCAATCACGAGTGAGTCTATCTCCTAATAGTAGGGTAGTGAATCAATCGAGCTAGGATAGTACCCACTATCGATCTAAATGATGTAACTAAGGGGATTCAAACTTAAGAGAACTCCACCACTTGTATTTAGCTAGGTTAGTGGGTAGCTAGGTTAGTTAGTTTAGTTTTGAAAATCACTATCCTAGGTTGGTAGATAACAAAAACTAACCCGAAGTAAAGTAAGCCTAGATCCCCGTAATTCGATAAATTTTTAAAAATTTCTTACCCTATACTACACATGGTCGTCGGTTACTCTTGGCCGTCGATTGGGATGTGTAGTTAGAGTTGAGCCAAGTTTTTGGAGGCGTTCCCGGCAAACTTTCTAGGTTTGTTCACACATTGATCCGTATCCATTTATGATTCCATTCACACCTTGTGATCCACATAGCTCAATTTCGTGATCCACATAGCTCAATAGTGTGATCCCTTTAGCCTTAGCTCGAGTCATTGGTCCTTCAACTTGAGTGTGCTTGGCTTTGATGACCTCATCAACCGCGAACAGGGATAAAACATCTATTTTTGTAAAACGCGGAAGCACCCTGGTTCATGCACGATTTGATCAGTTCATGATCAATTAAGACTGCAAACTGCAAGCGCAAACCGTGAACTGAAGTGAAAACATGGTGTTTACGAAATTTTTTGACTAGACCTACTCCACCTTTCTACTATCAATCGCAACACATCTTAAAACACACAATCACAATGACCTGGCATGGGGATACCAACTCGACCACTTAAACTCTTCACTCAACTACAAAATGAGAAAATAAGGAAAAGAAAACAAACCAACGTTGGGTATCCTCCCAACAAGCGCTAAGTTATCGTCATTATCTTGACGGTTGCGGATCTATCACGCCTTTGAACATGAGGCAACCGAGAGTGGATCCACCACAATCTCGGGGCTAGGCATGTCGCCTCTCAACTTAAACTCCATGGGGTGGCCTTCTTAGCCGATGGCTTTCGCTTTGCCCTTGTCCTTTCTCGGGGCAATAGCGTGATTCATCCTTTCCCTCCAATCTTTCTTCTTTCTTTGGGTGTGATACCCTCCTTGATTTCCTGCTTCATATCACCACAAGGATCAACTGTAATAGTGGGGTTCACCTTGCGAGGCTCTCCTCCACTTGCATTCAGATCATTCGAGTCCACTTCCTTTACATCCTCACTCGTAGGCTTGGGTTCAATTCCAAGAGTAATTTTCTCCTCACCATCTCTCAGAATCAAAGTTCCCTCATCAATATCGATCAAATCCTTGGTGGTGTCAAGCAAGGGGCGTCCTCGTATGATTGGAATTTCCGTATCTTCACTTATATTATGGATCACAAAATCCGTCGGTAACAGAATTTTCCCACTCGTAATAGCATGTCCTCCACAATGCCCCTAGGACTAATGACAGTGTGATCGGCCAATGTGACACTGAGCCTACTAGTCTTTAGTTCACCTATGTCTAGCCTCTTAAAAAGCTTAAAGAGCATCACATTAATGCTTGCTCCTAAGTTTGCCAAGGAATTTTCTATGTGATGAGTGCCAATGCAAAGAGGTATGGTGAAACTACCTTGATCGGGTTGCTTTTTGGGCAACTTGTTGAGGATGAAGGCAGAGCGCTCCTCGCCTAGGGTGACATTCGTGAGGTATTGGAATTTTGGCTTCTTGGAGAGAAGCCCCTTGAGGTATTTTGAATACCATGGCATGTGGGCCATTGCTTCAAGGAAGGGAATGTTTAGGTGAAGTTTTCTGAGCATCTCCATGAAACCTCAACATTCCGCTTCCAATATTTCTTTGTGTAGCCTCGTGGGAAAAGGTAGGGGTGGCATGTACTCAGCCACTGGAGGTTATGTTGGCGATGCCTTCCTCGCCCCTCCTTTCTTTCCTCCCGAGATTTCTTTTTCTCTACCCTTTGGTTGAGAGTCTTTCTTCTCGATCACTTCTTTGGCAAGAACCTCCAGAGTCACCTTCCCGCTTCTCAATTGAATCAAATTCACCCCAACATTTTGGTCTTTGGGGTTTGCAATGGCTTGGGAAGGTAGAGATCCCCTTGGTCTCTTGGTGAGGATCCCGGCAAGATTTCCAATTGACACCTCCAAGTTCTGAAGACTTTCTTGATGACTTCAGAGTCCTGCCTCGACCGAGGTAAATTTTGAGGTCGCCACATCCATGAATTGCTCGATCTTCTCAAACTTCGGAGAGCTCGGGAGAGCTCGTGCTCACAAAGGTGGTCACTAGATCTTCAAGCTTGGCGAACTTGTCGGGTTGTTGTTGTTGGAACCCTTGACCACCTTGTGCTTGGTATGGTTGTTGGAAGTTCGAGTTTTGGAATTGAGGCCTTTGTTGGATGAAAGTTGGCAGAGGTTGGTAGTTGCACGTTGGACCTTGGATACCGGGGTGGGGGGGGGGGGGGGGGGGCGGGGGGGGGGGGGGGCAAAGGCTTGGATTGGTAGGGGAAGACCAAGTGAAGTTTGGATGATTGCTCCACCCTGGGTTGTAGGTGTTGCTATAAGGGTTGTTCCCTCTAGCATTGTCAATGAAACTCACCTACTCTTCGGGGGTACTTGTTTCCTTCGTTGCTTGGCAATCCACAATTTCATGATTAGTGCTAGCACACCAATCACAAGAC